TGTGTAGATGACCTTGTTCCAGCTAAGATAGGGGCTCTTTTGATCTCAGCAGGGGGATGCTCTGGGCCTGCAGCTGGCAGATATTAATAGTACAGGATCCACTGGGGTGGAAGAGATCTCTCAGTTGGGCCAGGTCACTTGAATTCCCTGCTCTGCGTCAGAGCAGAAGGGATTTCATTTCCCCGAATCAGCCCCTGCTGGGTACTTCTCTCAGGTCAACTCAGATCATTTTATTGCTGGCTGCTCTGGGCCGCTTGTTCTCACCCCACAACTGTTTTCAAGCGAGCACCGTTTAAGCAGTGCCCTCTTCTCTGCAGCTGAAATCTATTACAAGACAGGGTGGACCCTGGGCTCACCCCATCACAGTGTGTTTCTCACTCTCACTGGTTTGCACACATTACTTCTTGTGTACACACTTGTGTGGGAGAGAGGCAGAGAGGGCAAGAGACAGACAGACAAGACCTGAAGTGTTTACAGAGTGAGCAAGAGACAGCAATATGGGGAGAAGAGGCTGTTACAGGTATGCTAAAGTATCAGGGCTAAGATTTCTGAAGATCCTTTCTATTACGTTTAATCTAGGACCATAGGTCATTCTTCCTACTCTATAAATCAGGATTTTAAAACTCCATCAATGAGTGAACCCTCCTGAGCTTCAGACCCACATCATGATCTTACAATGCTAGAGCTGGAAGAGACTTTAGCAATCTCATATTCATCTAACTTGTCATTTAGCAGAAAAAAACTGAGGCCCAAAGTGATTAAAAGACCTGCCCAAGATCACAGAGCTAATAACACAATGGCAAAGCTGATACAACAAATGCTTGGAACAACAACAAAGCAACTGATACATATTAATCATAGTAACAATAATAACCATTGCAATGATCTGAAGAGGTATAAATGTTCTAAGAAATTTGTCCATTTTAATTCACTGGTAAGGAACTTCATTACAGACTTAGGGAAAAATATTTCTATAGCTTTTTTACCTGCTCAGCTATGTAAGGAAAAGATCTAGAAAAATCCATTGTTTCCATTCTCCCTTGGATTTCATAATAAGAAAAAGGTGTCTAAGGATGAGCTGGTAACTCTCCTCTTGCCATGAACACCACATTTCCTTGAAGTGGTTATACTGGAGCCCCAAAGCAATTTCCTCTGTATCTGTTTTATTCCTCTTCTTTGCTTAAGATTAACCAGGAAGCCAAGACAAAGCAAAGTAGTATTACTTATTGGTATTCAAATAAGGAAACAAGCTCAGGAAACATTCCTCAGAGCTAAATAAATATGTGTGTGTGTGAAATAATAACAATTTTTAATGATGTTTGTTCATAGGTGCTTTATGTGATTCTCATGGTTACTGTTCTTACAAAGTATTTACTATGATATTCATTCAGCATTTATTTACAGCCTACTATGTGCCTAGAACTTTGCTAGTCACTCAGGCACAACAAAGATACAAAAAGAAGACAACTTAGCTAGTGTCTTTAAAAAATCTGCCCATCGTACATAAAGAAATGGAAAGATATCCCATGCACGTGGATTGGAAGAATAAACATAGTTAAAATGTCTATATTACCTAAAGCAATCTACAGATTCAATGCAATCCCAATCAGAATCCCAATGACATTCTTCACAGAAATAGAAAAAAGAATACTAAAATTTATATGGGGCAACAAAAGACCCCGAATAGCTAAAGAAATCCTAAAGAAAAAGAACAAAGCAGGAGGCATCACAATTCCTGACTTCAAAACATACTAGAAAGCAATAGTAATCAAAACAGCATGGTACTGGTACAAAAACAGACAGACAGATCAATGGAACAGAATTGAAAGCCCAGAAATAAAACCACACATATACGGACAGCTAATTTTCGACAAAGGTGCTAAGAACATGCAATGGAGAAAGGAAAGTCTCTTCAATAAATGGTGTTGGGAAAACTGGACAGCCACATGCAAAAGAATGAAAGTGGACCATGTGCTATCGCCATTCACAAAAATTAACTCAAAATGGATCAAAGACCTGAAGGTGAGACCTGAAACTATAAAACTCATAGAAGAAAATATAGGCAACACACTATTTGACATTGGCCATAAAGGAATCTTTTCGGATGACATGCCTACCCAGACTAGGGAAACTAAAGAAAAAATAAACAAGTGGGACTTTATCAGATTAAAGAGCTTCTATAAGACAAATGAAACCAGAATCAAGATGAACAAACAACCAACCAGCTGGGAGAGAATATTTGCAAAACATACATCTGACAAGGGGTTGATCTCCATAATATATAAAGAACTCACACAATTGAACAACAAAAAAACAAACAACCTGATCAAAAAATGGGCAGAGGAAATGAACAGACACTTCTCCAAGGAAGATATACAGATGGCCAATAGGCACATGAAAAGATGTTCAACATCACTAATCATCAGGGAAATGCAAATCAAAACAACACTAAGATACCACCTCACGCCTGTTAGAATGGCTATAATCACCAAGACAAAAAACAACAAATGTTGGAGAGGATGTGGAGAAACAGGAACCCTCATACACAGCTGGTGGGAATGCAAATTGGTACAGCCTCTATGGAAAACGGTATGGAGATTCCTCAAAGAATTAAAAATAGAGATGCCCTATGATCCAGCCATCCCACTACTGGGAATCTATCCAACGCACCTGAAATCAACAATCCAAAGAGGCTTATGCACCCCTATGTTCATTGCAGCATTATTCACCATAGCCAAGAAGTGGAAGCAACCTAAGTGTCCCTCGACTGACGACTGGATTAAGAAAATGTGGTATATATATACAATGGAATACTACTCAGCCATAAAAAAAGACAAAATCGTCCCATTTGCAACAACATGGATGGGCCTGGAGCGTATTATGTTAAGTGAAATAAGCCAGAAAGAGAAAGACAAACACTGTATGATCTCACTCATATGTGGAATATAAACCAACACATGGACAGAGAAAACTGGACTGTGGTTACCAGGGCAGTGGGGGTGGGGGGTGGGCACAAGGGGTGAAGGGAGTCATATATGTGGTGATGGACAAACAAAAATGTACAACCCAAAATTTCACAATGTTAGAAACCATTAAAACATCAATAAAAAAAAAAAAATCTGCCCATCGAGTTGGGAAACCATGAAAAGTTAAATTAATTTTTCTAGACCTTTTCTTTATATAGCTGAGCAGGTCGAGGGGCCACAGAGGAGGAAGAGAGAGTGAGACCAATGTGGACTGGAACAGGCAAGGAGGTTTTGTGGAAGAGGTGGTCTTTAAATAAACCTCGAAGGAGTGGGAGGATTTGGGAAGAAAAGAAGTGATAGAAGTGAAAGAGGGAAATGCTATTCTAGATAGGGGGAGCTGTCTCTGCAGAGGCTTGGAGGCAGGAGGGGAAAGCAGCAGGCAGAAAGGCAGCACGCTTGGTGTAGGAGCTTTACCAGAGGTATTGGTAAGAACTGAGGTTGAACAGGAGGGAAAGGACCGACTACGAAGAGTTAAGAAGCATCAACTTTATCTAGTGGTGTTTTGGAAACTGATCCGTGCAAAAGAAAAGAAAAAAACCTGATTTTTAACATTTGCTGATTTCCATGGTGTAAATACTTCCACCCTGGCTGATTTCAAGCTAACAAACCACAAATTCCTGAATATTTTAAAGTTGGCTTATTGATTTTAGCCCATTCTCAGAAAACGGGCTGAAACAATTCCAAGATTTCTGAGCATAAGAGTGACATGGTCAAAGGAAGCCAGGTAGGGAAAGTTCAGTTTGGTAGTGGCAGAATGGAAAGGGTAGAGGCTTGTATTGAGAAAGCTACTTTGGAATTTATTAAAATAATCTAATTGTGAGTTTAATAAGTCAGCTGATCACAATACAAATTACAAAAAAGAGGGGACAGAGGAAAGATATGTTTGGAAAGAAGCACTAAGAAGCCTTGATGATGAAAGAAGTGTAAGGAGGGAGGAACAATAAATGATTCAAGTTTTCAGTCCAGGTGACAGGGAGTGGTAATGTATCACTGAATGTGGAAATCGGGTACACAGAGCATTTTCTACTTTTCACTAATAAGTATTAGTTTTCACTCTGAAAAACACCACCGAGAAGCAAGAGAGGCAGGGGTGTGGTCCTTGCAATTTTTGAGTCCATAAACGAAGGTTGATCCATGGAAAACCACCAAGGCAGTGAGGAGCCTTCCTAGGCCTAGAAGATCCATATATTCTATCATGAATAGTTCTCAGAAAATGGAAAGTGCAGAGGGGCCTGGAGCAGCTATGCACATCTATCCAGGCCTACAACATTCTGCCCTGAAAGAAGTTAGACTACAACTAGCAGAACTCAGAAATGTCAAGTAAGAAATTTCAATAAAACCAGAAACCACCAACAGGCTCAGTGGTGTAATTCCCCTCGCTACGTAAACCAGAGCCAGCCTGACCTTTGCTCGCATTTGAGGGTGGAGAAAATTTTTCAGATTTACCAACGTGGAGAGTTTTTCTTAACCTTTCTGTAAAGCTGATTGGGAATGCCACATCTCCGGCACATGATACTGGCCTACGCTTTAAGCCAGTCCAAACGTACCCAGCACAAATAAAGGCTAAATTGCTATGAGACCACTGGTAAAGCCAACCTTTGGGCATTAGTATCAAAAGCAGTCATTTAGTAGTTCACCAGCCCTCATACTAAGGACTCAACCTACAGAGGAGCAACAGGCCTCCAGATGGAGGTGACGGATGCTTGTAAGGATGACTCACTCAGGTGAAAAAGGAAGCTCACTTATAGAGACAGGGCAAGAGACTCTCCAAATGTAAGAGGATCAAATGTAAGACTCTCCAAATGTAAGGGATCAGATGCTGGGAAAGGTGGTCAAGCTGAAATCCCCAGGCTCCGGCTGGGTTCACTGGTCAGGGCCTGTTGGCTGTGTCTCCCAGCTCTCAACAGGAGGCAGAGAGCCTGTGGGGCTGCACGTCAGTGTCAAGTTTCAGCCCCTCTAGGACAGATCTCTTACCTTCAGACTGGGACAAATCATCAGCTGGAGACACCAGGTCTGCCTGAGAAGCTAGGGCTCCGCTCAGATGGGTTGTAATTTGATTCGTCAAGATAACCTGTGAACAGACAGGGAGAAGGTGGGGGCAGGGAGAAGAGAGAAGACCAAATTAATTATTAGAGCTATCAAAAGACAGACTGTGGTTTAGGGGAAGGCTGATAAGTACACAGGTAGGAAAACCCCAGCTCTAACTTGCATCAATTTTATCTTTAGGCCAGAAGAGCTGGGAAAGCCTATAGGTCACTTAAAACAGAGAAAACTGAGGAAACAGGCTGACTTTTTTTCAGAGCTTAAACCACTAATCAATTCTTCCTAAATGCTGAGTAAATTGGGACTGAGAGGTGTTGTCATAGTAGCCAAATACCAGAAGGCTAACCAGAGAATCAAGATGCCTATGTACACATTTTATCAAACTAATTTTTCAGATTACATCCCCAACCCAAGATATTGCTAATGCTGAATAAAAGAATAATGTAAAATTTGGATATCTGTGGCTTCTTCCCTTGTTAACTGAAAAGTCAGAGTTTTATTTCCAAATTTGTGAAATTGGAATAAGATTCGTCTCTAAAAGAATAACACTCTTCTTTTAAATTAGTCGAATTCTAACAAAAAAATCCCAAAGTCTCACTATGTATTTAAAACACAAAATACTATAATCCTACCTATACAAAATGAAGTTCATAACACTTAAAATTCCTAAAAAGGATTAGAAAATTACCTAATTCAGGTGGTCCATTGCCATACAATATTTTCACATTTGGTTTAGTCAAGAAACTATTCTTTTCCTTAAAAATCCTCATTTATAACGTTTACTCTATTGTTTAGAAATATAAAGGAAGAATAAAATACAGATTCTCTCCTGGAAAATTGCAACATGACTAACAGCAATCATTTCCCAAGGTTTGGGTGTTCCCACCTTGGATAGAACCTGTGGGCATCGGGCCGGCCCTGTGGCTTAGCGGTTAAGTGCGCATGCTCCGCTGCTGGCAACAGGGTTAGGATCCCGGGCGCGCACCGACGCACCGCTTCTCCGGCCATGCTGAGGCCGCGTCCCACATACAGCAACTAGAAGGCTGTGCAACTATGACATACAACTATCTACTGGGGCTTTGGGGGAAAAAATTAAATAAAAAAAAAAAAAAAAAGAAAAGAACCTGTGAGCATCTTGATCCCTTGGAGGAAACATCCCTTTTGAAAAGGGTACTAGGCATTTAGTACCCAGAATATGCATCTGGCTGCACTGTCTTGGTCTGTCCCAAGGGTTAGCTATGGTTTTATTGCCACCTTGATTTGAACGGAAATGGAAATCACCTCCATTCTCTATTATCCAGCTTTTCAGCCACACCTCTGTCGCTGTCTCTCGAATGGACCAGTGACACGTTATAAATCCTATACTAATGGCAGCTTAATTGAGGGTGAGAGGGGAGCATGATGGCAAGGTCAGGTAGAGAAACGAAGTACTCGATTAGCAAAGACAACCTCTCCAAGGTCTCTGTGTGTCAACTAGGCTTGTGAGTCTCCAGCTGCTTTGCAGTGATGATCAGATATTACAGCATCCCGCTGACTATTTGCTAATCTTCTGCCCCATATTCATTTGTATTGCTATTTTCATCTGGACTGGTAAGAATCACATGTGATATGTCTTCAGTTAAAACGGCTTTACATGGTCAAACAACAGCCTGCTCTTTTAAGAAACACATCATTCATATCCAGGAGCATGAATAAGGAATTATGTTCATTTCTCTCTTTATAATCTAAGATATGGGATTTGGAGTTCAATAAAACGGAGTTCAAATTCTGACTCTGACACTGTGAACCTTGGGCAAGTTACTAAAACCTTTGAGCTTCATTTGTTCACAGGTAAAATAACACCTATCTTATAGAATTGTTATGAGAATTAAATGAGATAATCAATGTAAGATACTTAACATAGTGTCTGGCACATAGTAAATATTCAATAAATGGAAGCCATTGTTAATATTTCCTTCAGAATGATGCTATATAGGTTAATAAATTAGTATATGCCACATGCATCAATTGGATCTAATAATAGAACACTAAATCACAATTTTCTACATCAGGATATACTTCAATACTTGATCATTTCTACCAATCTTGGTCCTTCTTAAGTTTTACTTAATTGTGAGGAATTTGTATAAAAATTTTAGTAAGAAAAAGACAGTAATTATTTAAAGCAAGGCCAATAAGATATTGGAAATGTTCTGAAAATATTATGTGCTTTATCTACCAATGAAGAAAATAATGTATCTGTCTGTCCTAGTTAAAAAAAGAAAAAGGGAAGCTTCTGAGAGAGCTAAATAGGTAAGCTCTATATTTTAGGGGATTCTTCTAGAAGATGACTTAGTGAAAATGAACATAACTCTAATGATATAGTAACAATAATGAGCAAAAGAAATTATTGAATACCTACCATGCAAAGCATGTCACCACGCACACAGGGGGAAATGAGAGGTAAAGCACTGTGTTTCTTCTCTAGAAACTTGTAAGTTAAAGATAAGGCATTTACTAAAATGTTCAGACCCCTTTTTCTCAATTTTATTATTATTTCACTGGTCCTATAATGGGAGCTTGTACTGAGATGATGGTTTTATTGTACAGAACTAATAAAATGATACCCTGCAGAGCCTAAAACCAAACTACAGATGTACCTCAAAAGATATCCACCCCATTTCCACTTCCAATGGAAAAGGAGATGGAGAAGAAAACATTTTCACTAATGGCAGGAGAACAAGCTCCTGCGTGGTTTTGCTAACAATTCTCTCCCTTTTTATTATGAGTCTGAAAGCCAAATCACGGAAGGGATACACAGCAACCAAACTCAGGGGGTTGCTAATCACACCATCTTACGGAATTGTTGTGGTTTTCTAAATCCCTGTTCAGCAAAATGATAGAATGGAAACATTTCCAAATAGCATTGATTACAAATAATCACAACTTGGGCAGAAAGCTATAGATGTGTTGTCTTCTGAGGCAATCTGGAGACTTGAAAACTACAGTCTTAAAATAACTTATAAAATATTATTACAAATTATAACAGAGTCTTATATCTGGTTTCTGAAAATGAGTTCTGACTGACACTTCAGAGGGGCTTTCCTGCTGCTTGGCTCCATTGGAAAGACTGGGGCACTAAATTTGTGCAAGAGCAGTTTGCACAGTGATTAGGGTGAGGACTCTGGAGTCAGATCTGAGTTCAGATCCTGGGTTCTACCACTTACTAGCCATGTGACATCAGGCAAGTTTCATAACCTCTCTGGGAATGATAATACTTAACTCATAGGGTTTTGATTAGATTGGATAATGCATACAAAGCCCTTAGCATAGTGCCTGCCCAACCCTAAACCCTTAAATGTTAGCCCCCACCAGTGTCTTTAGTTCTCCTTTGCTGATTTGTACTTTGCTCATTTAGATAGAAAACTCACACCTGATTCCCTTTTGTACAGCGTATAGTCCACTGCTGACAAAGAACAATATTTGCTGTTGAATATGTTCAAAAAAGCAGTAAAAGTTTAATTGAAAGTGCATCCGCTATTTTGCCATTTCTCTAAAAGTATACTTATTTAAAACATACAACATACCCCCACTACCATCAATCACAAGTCCAAAGGCCACAGTGGGACTCTGAGACTAAGGGGAAGATATATATTTTTTTGATGGTCATGATTAGATCTGAAGCCAGGAGGAGACGGAATCCAGCTTAAAGTTTACTCTTCAGGCAGGAGAACACCACCCACCTACTGGGGGGAATAGGACGCCCTATAAGCTGTATAAAGGAAGTATTGTGTTCACTCAACTTTATACATGAAAAGACCGCTTACTCCCAGGGCTTCTGTACACTGCTCTACACTGCCCTCTTGGTTGTAGGATGCTTCAGGTACACTTGAATTGGAAATGGCCCCTCATATCATGTTACAGAGACTTGAGTCTCATTTTCAGTGCTCCTCTTCCACGGCAAAATGAGGGGGGGATTTTTCTCCCTTCAAAGACCATGCACCTGGGTTCTAAGTTTTCCCTTGCACTATCTAGCTTCTCTAAATGCATCCCACTTGACCCTTCTGTGTACTGTAGTTCAACACCTATGCTCAGTTTAAGCGAACAACTAAGCTCTCTCAAGAAGAAGAAACTTCAGTGTACGATTCATAAATAATCCAATAGGTCCTGCTTTCACTGAGAGCAGGACTTATATCATAAGCTAGAGAAAAGAGATGGACAGACAGGAACCAGGCAAAGACCAGATGAACTGGTAAAGCAGATAGGTGGGAATGAATGCCATTTTGGTACAAGGCAGAGGATCCGGAGGATGAAAAACCAACCAACACACAAACAAAAATACATGACTCATTTCCACTAAGTATCAAAAAGGTAGCTTAAGAGAGAAAATACCTAGAGACAAAAGGGTAGGAGCAGAATAAGTTGGTTAGAGGAACCATCAGCCCCATGGCTCATAGGACTGGTAAGCTGGAGTCCACTGACCAATTGAGATTGACTCTCCACTAGTCTCTGTGTTCAATGTGGACCACCTGCCTCCAGCTGACCCATCTTTCTTCAGCTAGGCTATGATCAGACTACATCTAGGCTATACCCACATCCCAATCATGCCTCCTACTCCTGGTCCAGAATACATTCTGCCTTAAGGGGCCACTGTATGTGTCTAGTCTTATCTACCTTACATTGAAGTATTATAGAAGTATCTTTGCTGGGGCCTCCATGAGTAGCCACTTAGTATATTCAAGTCCACTGTGAGTACTGGAAAATGGTGGACCATAGAGAAAATGAGACAGCCCTGGAGAAATCAGAGTGGGAAGTGTCAGGCCTAAAGGCACAGACTTTAATGGAAAAATCTCCGTTTATTTGATTCTTGGAAGGTGACAGAGAAGAGGGAGTTTGTGGTCAGCGATGGATAGAATAGGTTGGAATGGTATATCTGGCCCTGTCTAGTCAGTGGAAGAGATATTCATGGTCAGCAAACCAATTACAATATTTACAAATCAGATTTTTTTAAGGACCTAAGAATATAGCACATGCTCTTATTCAGCTTTC